CTGTGGTGGTGCTGGGGTCTTGCAGATAGGGTATAGGCAATCAGCTCTTCGAGCAGTGGTCACAGGGCACTTTTGTTCTGTGCTCACCCCAGTTCTTTAGAGTCCTTTGGTGCTTGGGACAGTGGAGGGAATGGGAGGGAGAATGAGTCGCATCACTGCCATTCATTTGAAAGGGAGAACTCCTTTTGTGTGATCTGTCTGTAAGAGTTCCTGTTTGTAGCAGAAGTGTTTTCCATTCTCTAGACCCCTTTGCGATTGATGAAAGGATTGCTTACCTTCCTGTGGTAAACAAAAATGCCTGTTTCCTGTCTTGCATGTAATGTCTAGTTGAAATCACGTGTATGCTGCTGCTGTAGATTCTCTACCTTGGTTTGTAAGGCCAGATTCGTGGGACCCAACAGAGCTCCAGGAGCCGAGTCCGATGCAGTCGCACAAGAGTCTTTATTGCAAGCTCGAGCCTGGACTCACAACCGCTCCTGAAGCAGCGGCCCCAGGGAGTGAGTCCTGGTCCTTTGACAAGTGAGATTTTATAGGTGTTTGGTGTGTCACAGCATCACACAGCAAATCATTTCATATCGCGGGAAAGTCAAATCACAACTCTTAATATTGATTAGCACATTCATTGGCGGAAACAAGTTGGGTAAAGGTATTGGTTAGTACAAGAGGGGGATTCATTTGAACCGATTGGTTTAAGCCACGAGGGATGTACCTTCTGAAGTATATGGTTTCCCAACAATTTATCAACCACCCTAAACTACTGGGGGGGCGGTCATCTGGCATCCCAGGTATTTCCCTGTCTCATGCTGATTGGTGGTTGCTAGGGGTTGCTTTGGGGCCTCACCTATGGTGACTGAGTCAGGGACACCTGGCACCTCAGACCTCTCTTGTTATTTACAGACAAACAAGTCAGCAGGGGGGCTGTCTGCCAGGAGTGCTCCTGGGTTTTCTCAAGGACAAGGGTCACACCCCCTTCCTTTGGACAGGCCTTGCTCTGAGGTAGAGGCTGGTTTCTCAAAAATGGAGTCACATCAGTTTCTCAGGTCCATAGTGAAAATTCAAGAGTGCCGTGATTCTGTCGTGTTGTGATGATGGAGTTGTGTGTGTTATGAGTGGGCTGGTGTTTGCCCTTGCTCTGAGGCCCTAGGGCAGGGCCCTGGCCTCAGGGAGTTCTGAGCACAGTCCTTGCCAACGGGGAACTGCTGCCAGGCTGGGGATTAAAGTCAGCACTGAAAGATGAAGTGTCCCTTCAGGTCCAGCCTCTGAACAGAGGGGAGGCACTCAGACCCCTTCTGGGACTGCTAGTCTCATGTTCTAACTTAGCTGGGCTCAGGTTTAGGACACCATGTGAAGATGCAGGTGTGTTTTTCTCTTGTGTGGGGCTGAGGATTGAACCCTGGCCTTGCATATGGTAGGCAAGTGCTCTACCAGCCACACTCAGCCCCAATGTAGCTATTAGATTAAGTTTTTTTTTTTTTCCACAAAAAGACAAGCACTGTCTGTCCTCACTCATTTGTAGAATCTGAACTGGTCTCATAGAAGTTGAGAGCAGGATGGCGGTGGCTAGGGATGGGGGACGGGGATAGGCTGATCCTGGCCAGCATGGCTACATGGCCGGGAGGGTTTCTGGCTCTGTGGCCAGGCTGCAGGCCCTGGATGGAAGTAACCTCCCGCCTCACGCCCCCAGAGGCCTTCCGGATGTTTCCACCATAAAGAACAATGAATGCTTGAGGAAATAGCGATGTTCAGTCTGATTTCCCCAATGCAAAGTGCACACATGATCGAAACATCACACACACCCCATTAATGGGCATAGTTGTAATGTTTTGTGTAGGTTTAAAAAACTAAATATAAAAATAGTATTTAATATTCGGGTGTCGTATTTGGAAACTTTATGCTGGTAAAGTTAATATAATTTCTCTGGTTTAAGCAATTCTCTTTAAGGGAAGAAACCCTTGTGAAAGTCTCAGTGTCACCACTCACGGAGACGCCACTTCAGGCTGCCGGCTGCTCCCAAGCACCCAGCTGTCTGCTGCAGCTTCCAGAAGCTGTGGGAAGGGAGCGAGCTGGGGACTATCAGTGTGAAGCATGGCCGAGGCCCCTGGAGGAGTGCAGGGTGGCTCCAGGTCACTGGGGATGCCCGAGAGCAGCTAAAGCAGAGCACTCCGCTGTGCAAAAGGCAGGCAGAAGGGCGAGAACCGTCTCTTTCCCCCCAGGAGGCTGCAAGGAATGCTCCTTGTGTTTTCTAGAGAGAACCGGAGCTGTGAAGCAGAGCCCTGCCCAGGCCCGCAGCTTCTGGGGAGTGTAGGCGGGGCTTTGGGCTGCTCCAACCTGGGGTGGATCTCCTCCTCCACCTCTCCAGCCGCCAAGAGAAGAAATGCCTGAAGAGCTGCAGAGAGCGGCCTCGGAGGGTGTGTCTGAGAGGTGCCGAGGGAGCCCCTGCCAGGAGTGCCCGCTGACGGCTCATGACCCCGCTGACGGCTCATGACCCCGTTCCCTGCCCTTGGCCTGGTGGGACTTGAGCCGCCCACGGCTGGGCCCCTGGGGGTCCTGGGGGTCACAGAGCTCCAGAGGCCATACAGGCCTGGGAGAAGCAGCCCCTTCCCACTCTAGGTCAGACTGCAGGTCTGTCTTCCTCCTTAGTGTGAGGGTGCTCCACCAAGCCTCTTACGGTGTTTTCCTGTGGAATTTTCTGGTATCGACTGCAGTTTTCCTTCTCTCTCTCTCTCTCTCTCTCTCTCTCTCTCTCTCTCCCAGGGATTGAGCCTGAGGGTGCTTAATCCCTGGGCCACATACCAAGCCACCTTTAAGTTGCTTAGGGCCTCACTAAATTGTGAGACTGGCTTTGAACTCCTGGTCCTCCTGCCTCAGCCTCCTGTGTGCACCACCGTCCCTAGTGTAACTGCAGGTTTCACCGTGTGGCCCAGTGTTCCACCAAGTGTCTCCGCCGTGTGCAGATTCATTTACTTATTGTTCATTCTTTTCAGCTCTACATGACAACAGAACGTATTTTGACATATCCTACACACATGAATATAACTTATTCTAATTAGGAGCCCATTCTCATTGTACGTGATGAGGAGTTCCACTGCTTCCATGATAAACACGGGAAAGTTCTGTCCAACTTATTCTACTGTCTTTCCCATTCCCATTACCCCTTCTTTCCCTTCATTCCCCATTCTCTGATCCAATGAACTTCTATTATTTCCCCCTACCCTGTGGGGTGTTAGCATGTGCATATCAGAGAGAAATTTTGGTCTTTGGTTTTTTGGGACTGGTCTATTTCAGTTGGCAGGATAGTCTCCAGTTCCATTCATTTATTGGCAAATGCTATAATTGCATTCTTTATGACTGAGTAATATTCCATTGTGCATATGTACCACATTTTCTTTATCCACTCATGTATTGAAGGGCATCTAGGTTGGTTCCATAGCTTAGCTACTGTGGATCGTGCTGCTATAAATATTGATGTGACTGTATCACTGTAGCATGTTGATTTTAAGTCCTTTGGGTGTAGACCAAGGAATGGGGTAGCTGGGTCAAATGGTGGTTCCATTCCTAGTTTTCTGAGGAATCTCCCTACTGCTTTCCAGAGTGGTGGCGCCAGTTTGCATCCCACCGTCCTGCGCTGTTTGTGTTCCAGTCTGTATCACTGTGATGATACAGGCCTCAGAGAGAGGCTCTGTCTGACTGTTGCTTTCTTTCCTCACCTGTCCTGCTGTTGCTCTATCACCTTGTTTTCTCTCTGCCTTTGAACAAGCTTCTGACCGTGCCCCTCTGTTGCAGGTATGATGAAGCCACCAGGGCCTTTGGGGGCAGCTGCCCCTGGGGTGATGCTACCTTCCCCACCGCCCGGACCACAGCAGTTTGGCCAGAATGCACCTTATGCCTCCAGTGTCCCAGGCCTGCCTCCCCAAAGGTGAGCAGGGGGTTCCAACCTGTGTGGACACACCGCCACAGTCTCCCGGGCGGTGCCTTGTGTACTTGATGTTCACGTGGAGGCAAGTTCCTCTGCGTGGAGTCCATTCCTTGGGAAGATCTATTGAAAAACTACCCAGAAACAAAGCCCTGGGAAAAGTTAGGGGAAAGGGATGTTCAAGAATAGATAAAAGTCACTTGTCTCCGTGCCACATGATTTAGTTCTGGGTTATAGTCAGTGTTTTAGAACTTTGTGCCCTTCCTTTAGATGCCTATGGTCTCTATGAAACTTTAAATTGCCCTACTCTCTTGGGTCCTTCACAGGGTGAGCTCAGTGCCAATAGGTGCTCAATAAGTAGTCTGAAGTACACATCTGATGCAGCCAGTGAGGCCCGGGGTTATGTGTGAGGGTTCCCTCGGCAGAAGAGGAGTAAGGAACGAACCTTGTACTTGTGATCACAGCTGAGGAAGCACTTAGAAGGGGCCTGAGGAGCCCAGGTGTGAGATGCTTCAGTTTTCAGAACCTGCCACTCACAGGGGACTGTCCCTGGGGACCAGAGCCAGCTTCAGGCCCTCCCTGTTGGAAACACCTCTGTTGTCCCGTGAGCTCCTGCGGCCAGCCACAGAGCCAGGCTGTGGGCAAGGGCACCTAGGAACTGCTCCAGAATCACCGGAGGCTCCCTCCCCAGGTTCCTGTCCCAGGGAGGAGCCTCCCTGTGACCTGGACCCTGCCAAAGCCCTTAGCTCCTGCTAGTAAGGAGGTGTGTGCTGTCAAGTTGTGTCCTGCAGGGCAGGGCGTGGGAGCCTGAGGCTTCCTGCGTGGGCCTGTGTGGTGACTGGACCACAGAGGCAGGGTGCCTGGGGACTCCGCGGATGAGCGGCATTTGGCTTCAGTGTGCTTAGCGCACAGAGCGGAAGTCAGAGGGACCTGCCTGGCCTCACCCTCCACCTTCGCCCCAAAGCCTGGCGGAGGCCACAGGGGAGGGAGGAACCAGGGGCCGCCTGGATGCTCTGCCCGAGGGAAGAGAGGCGGCAGAACCCTCGGTCCAGAGTAAAGGGGGAGGCCCAGAATGCACATCCTGAGAACTCAGGCACCTGAACATTCCAGACACCAAGGTCAAGCTGGCAGAGAAGGTCTTGGTCACGGCACCAGCGTGAATCCGCTCCATCTTGGTGACAGTGGCCTGCTCCCTTGGGTCAGGCTGCTGAGGAGGGAGAGCTGGACTTTGGCATCACGCTCAGCGTGTCATGGTGTCTGAAGTTGAGATCTGGGAGGCAGGACAGGCTGCGGTCTTCTGAGGGGCCACCACGGCTGTCCCAGTGAGTCCTGGGCTGCAGGACGGTGCTTCCGCACCCACAGGCCTGCGGACAGCCGTGGCCTCCTGTGAGTGGGCATCGCAGAAGGCCTGTGGCCTCCTGACCTCGGGCCAGCCTGGTGTCCCTGGGTCTCCGATGACCTATGGAAGGAGACCACTATGCACTCTGTACCCTGTCATCGGGTGGCAGTCCCTGCTGCCCGCTGTCCTTCCTTAGAGCACAGTCTGGCTTCCCAGGACCACACAGCCTCTGAATCTGCTCCCACTGGGCCTCCAGGGCACCACAGGCGGGTGTCGCCTCCCCTGGGGTTCACTTGAGGCCACCCGAGTGGGACTGGGGGTGGCAGTGGGTCTGGCAGGTGGCAGGGCTGCCATGCTCCCTGTCCCGGGTCAGACGGGGCTGCAGGCTGAGGGCCCAGGAGCGGCCGGGGAGCCCAGCAGAACACTGGCTCAGCCAGCACGGGGCAGGCAGCTTCTGAAGTTGGCATCTCACGTTTGTCGTTCCTGCACGGAGGGTCCCTCAAAGAGATCCCACTTTTTCTAAATCTCACATGTCAAATGAAAGCAAGATTAGGGTGGGGTTGTGGCCCAATGGAGAGCACTTGCCTAGAACATGTGCGGCACTGGGTCCGATGCTCAGAACCACATAGAGTGAATGAATAAAGCTGCTGGGTCCATCTACAACTAAAACAATTAAAGGCAAGATTAAGTCAGGGTCCTGTGTTGATTTGACTTTTTTTTTTTTTTGTACTGAGAATTGATCCCAGGGGCACTGGACCACTGAGCCACACCCCCAGCCCTATTTTGTATTTTATTTAGAGACAGGGTCTCACTGAGTTGCTTAGTGCCTCGCTTTTGCTGAGGCTGGCTTTGAACTGGTGATCCTCCTGTCTCAGCCTCCTGAGCCACTGGGATTACAGGCATGCGCCACCACTCCCAACATTGAGTTTTAAATATATAAGTTTTTGTTTTTAGAACACTGCAATTCCAAAGATAAAAGTAGAAAATCACACCCACTCATGTGTAACTTGATCTTGGCTGAGGCAGAATCAGTGTGTCACAGGCAGTACTACAGTTTTCTGCCTAGGGTTATTGCTAGGAGGGGTTAGCTTAAAAATACAATAAAACCTAAAGTCAGGGGTTTTTTTACATTGTAAGATAAAAAGTAAGTTGGGCTGGATTTGTGGCTCAGCGGTAGATAGAGCACTTGCTTCACACATGTGAGACCCTGGGTTCCATCCTCAGCACCACATTAAAAAAAAAAAATAAGTGAAATGAGGTATTAAAAAAAAAAAGATCAGAAGTAAGTCAATTGTAATTGATCTGTTTGGTGAGGAAGTGAAGAATTGGAGGCAAAAGGGACTCAGATCCCAAATTGAAGGTAATATGTTTGAATCTACTAAGAAAATAATTTTCAATGAAAAAGGAAGAAAAGAAGCAACAAAAATAAGTTAATAGTTTTTCCGGGTGTGTTTTTAAGTGTGGAGTGTAATGGTTGGGTCACAGAGGTCCACAGTCCCTGCTCCACGGGGTTCAAAGTCCTGGTGTCTCCGTCAGACCTTGCAGAGTCTGTGCCTGTCCTGGTCCATCTTGAGCCTCTGGGGTGGAAACCTGCAGCCGGGTGATTTAGGAGCAACAGAACTCGCACTCACTGCTCCGGAGGCTGGAGGTCCACACTGCGGCAGGACTGGTGTCCTCTGAAGGCTGTAGCCCCATTGTCTCCTCCAGGGGCACCCTGTGGGAAGGCAAGGGCCTGTGCGTCCTCCTGTGGACCAGGGGGCACCCTGTGGGAAGGCAAGGGCCTGTGCGTCCTCCTGGGGCTCTGCTCCTTCGAAGGCCCAGCTCCGGGACCTGCCCGGTAGCACTGCCTGCTGTGGTTGGGACGGTTCCCGCCAGTGCAGACCTCGTCCAGGTACTGACACGCTGAAGTGATTGGCTCTTCAGAAGCACTTTTTCGAGGGGAAGTGTGGAGCAGGGCCACAGTCAGCTCTTCAGAAGCTGAAGTTTAAACTGAGCTAAATTCCATGTCTTATTGATCTCTCATTGATCATTCCTTTCAGTGGTGAGTCTGCCCTTTTCCAACACTGAATGAAATAATAAATAAAACCCATATTTGAATGTTTCTTAGCCCCCAAACAAGACTCTATACTTTAACCACATCATTTCTGTGGCAGAGAAAGGGGCCGTCCTGCCCTCCCTGCTGGCTGTCGTAATCCCAAGGCCAAGGGTCGTGAGGTGAGGTGGTGTGCCTGTGGTCACACCCCAGTCCACAGGCCAGGGTTGGAAGCTGGGTTCCTACCTAGATGTTGACGCCACGTGCTTTGTGACTCTGGGAAAAGTAAATTGAAAAGTGAAAAAAATATTCAACAATTTGTATGTTTTAAATGTCCTGTTAATTCTATCTGGTAGGTAGTGACTTTTGCTGCTATTTAATAGTATTCTGTTTTTAAATTGATAACTTTGCTTCTGAAATCCAAATCTGAGTGAGTTTCAGTTGGTTGGAAGGACACGGTTTGTGACTCTCAGAGCCTCCCTCCTGGGCGTCTGTGAAGCCCCGCCACAGGGGAGCTTGTCCTCCTGAGGCGCCTGGAAGGCCCCACCTTTTCCATCCACTTAGTGCAAGGCTCAAGGCCTGTTGGAAACACACTCGACAGAGTAATTGTTGGAGGTTAAGATTAAGATTTATTTTAAAAATCATTCAGTTTGATGGAGGAAAGTGAGGAGACGTTAGCGTGCTGTTTGGGGCAGTGTGGTCACCAGGCCGGCACAGCAAGCCACTGGCCTCCTCGGGCCCTGCCCCTGCCTCTCTCTGGGTGAGGCCCTAGGGAATGCTTCCCAGTGCACAGACGGGAAATGCAATCAGACCGCAGCACTGGGAACATTTAATTTTTACTCAAAGTTTAAAACTGTAGGACTAGAGTCACAATGGCGTGGGTGCAAAGCACCGTCTGGCTGCTGTGGCCGATGGACCTCAATTGTAATCCATCTATTTTGAGCGGGAGTGCGCGCAGACGGGCCCCACCTCCCCAGGCAAGCACACTGGAGCTCAGCCCAGAGCCGGCAGCTCGGCTCACGTGCACATTTCACAGGGAATGTGCTGCTGGCCTTGGAGCAGAGAACTGCGAGGCCTTGCTCACAGCTTGGTGGGCGTAGGTGGATTGTCCTGAAGGTGGCCAGGAGCGTGGAGCTTTCTCTCCCTGCTGCTGACCATTGGCAGGGTCCACACACCACTGTGTGAGCTCAGCTTCCCCGTTGACTTCAGGCCGGATTTGCCTCCACCTCAGAAGTGTCCTTTGCTCTGGACCCTGCAAGGTGTGAGTGGAGATGTGGGGAGGTGCCGCACGATCTCTGCAGAGCGCCGTCAGGCTCATCTGTGGCACACCAGGCTCCTGGCCCCACCTGCCTGGCTCTGCCTCTCAGGACACCCTTTGCCTGCCACTTGCTCCAGAGGTGACAGCACTGACCTGCTTTCTGTCTTCAGATTCACAGGCCCCGCACCTGTGCACAGTGTGGCCTCCGCATGTGCCCCCTACCAACCCTCTGCACAGCCGTCCTACCCGAGTCCCGCGTCCACGTCAGCCGTCACCCAGCTGGGCGGCCAGCTTGGGGCCATGCAGCTCAACAGCCACGGTAACAGCCTCGTTGTCAGCACTGCCTGCCTGGTGTGGGCTCCTGTGACGGAGGTGCTCTTCATTTTAAGGCAGCGCCCACCCTGGCGTACCATGGGGCACTGGCACACGAGTCATTGGTATTGTGTATGGCGGTGATGAGTTTGCTTTCTGATAACCCTTCAGATGACCACAGCACTCTCTACATTTAATGTCCGAACAACAAAAAACAGAAAATACTGATTTCATGAGGAAACATTAGAACACTGAAATTATTTTAAGAAATGTGAGGGAATTTTAAACTCGTGTGGTTTATTGTGGATCCCCAAAATAGAAATACGATCGATGCTCACTGCCCACAGTGCATTCAAACTCTGTGTGTCGACCATGGGGGAGGACAAGCTGGGGCCTTGTGAGGCAGCACACAGTCAGGTTTTGAGAGCTGCCCCGGCAGTCGGGCGCCTAGCAGCCTAGGAAATCTCTACTGTGGTGGTGGGACACCCAGCCAGCTGTTTTGATCAAGAATGTTTCATATTGCTTAAACTTAATTTTTTTTACAAGTATCCATTTGAAACCCCTGCAAATATTTCTTATATTTGACCAATTTCAGCTGGATAAGTCTTGGAGCTGTGAGCATAGCTCAGAGGTAGAGCACCTGCTTTGGGTGCAGGAGGCCCTGGGTCGAGTCTCCCCAGAAGGACAGTTTCCACGACGCAGGGGAACAGTCTGGCTGTCAGCTCTCTGCAGTGTGACTGGGGGTTAGCAGCCCACCCCTCTCTCTGGTTGCTTGTTCAGAAAGTCATTTGATGGAGAAGCCCAGGATGAAAATGCCTAGTCAAACGTGCAGATTACCTGAGTCATACCTGCAAGAGCAAGAATTCTGCTGGCCCCGTTTCTCGTGCCTTGGCTCATGCACTGATCACATGACCCTAATGCCCCTGGGTGAACGTCAGTCCTGTTCTGTCACCAAGACCAGCTCTTGCCCCTTGTGAGCTTTCCAGGGCCCCAAGGGCCCCCTTCACGTCTCTAGGTGAGGCACAGAGGCCCGGGCTGCGCTCAGCGGCGCTGTCTCCCGCAGGTCCCAGCGCGGGCCCTCCCGCGTTCCCAGGCCCTCCGCAGCCCGCGCCGCCCTCCATTCTGCAGCCGGGGCCCCGGGTGCTGCCGCCACCGCCCGCTGCGCTGAACGGCCCTGGTGCGCCCCCGCCAGCCGCAGGCACAGCCTTCCCGCCGCAGGGTAAGGGCGGGTGTGGGGCCTGGGTTTCCAGAGCCAGCAGCTCTCTTTCGGGGTGGGGGAATCCCAAGGCGAGGGGAGCCGGAGGCCGCACTGCAGCCTGCTGCAGGGGCCTGGGCCCAGGAGCCAGTGACCCTCCTTTCCCTTCTTCTAGCTGCCGGCTATGGCCCGCAGATGGGCGCGCCCGCGTCCTACCCTGGAGGCTTCGCCCCTGGCCCTGCGCGCATGGCTGGGCCGCAGCCCCCGAAGCAGCTGGACCCTGATGCTGTCCCCAGCCCGGTGAGTGCCGTCTCCCTGTAAGGACTCGTTATCCATTAGCATTCATCCGCCCTGGACTGCAGAGGTTGGGGGCCACTCCTCCAGGATCTGGACCCTGAGTCTCCATTGCCGCAGGAGGCAGGCAAGGGAGAACACAGCCTGCCATGAGGGCCGGGCTATAAGGTGAAGGGCAAGGCCAGGTAGCGGGCAGGCTGGGGGGGCGGGGGGGGGGGCTTGGAAATCCCCCTGCGGGAGAAGGAAGGGTCAGCCCGTGCTGGTATGGGGGTCTCAGCTTCCTTTACCTGCTCTTGCTGTGTCTCGCCTCAGATCCAGGTGATCGAGAGTGACAGAGCAGCCAGAGGGGGACAAGTGTATACCACCAATACCAGAGGCCAGGTCCCGCCCCTGGTCACCACCGACTGTGTGATTCAAGACCAAGGTACTTGTTTTCAGGGGTTTTACTGAGTGTTCTCACCAGGGTTGAAGCAGACACTTTGGGCAGTGCCCTCAGCTTGGGGAGCCCCAGCGCAGCTGAGAACAGCCCCCTCTGCTCCCAGTAGTCTGCAGCTTCCTGATCTGTCCCGGAAGCCTCTGTGTTGAACCAGCGTCTAAATCCATGCCCCCTACACTAGGAGGGAGGGCCTAGGTGCAGGTCAGGCTGAGGCCCCCCAGGGTTTTGCCGTGTGCTGTCTACAGTGGTCCCCCTCACTTGCCCTATGAACTCAGCTGAGCTGCTGAAAGTGCTGGGGTTGTCCACCAATATTGCTGTATCAGAATGCAATTTCATCTAGTAGTGTGGCACGATTGCTTTTCAAGTTTCTTAATCTAATTAATTCCACATGCAAATGCTGAAGTGCTGGAGGCGCCACATTTTCTCCTTAGCTGTGCACCCTTCCCCTCACCCCAGTGAGAGCCCCATGTCCCTGGTCTGGCAGGACTCCACGCCAAGGCTGGCCTCCACATCTAACTCTCCTACTCCCTCTCCTCGCCTTTCAGCTCCTCCTCTTCCTCTAGCCGTTCCTGAGGTCCCTTGGCCTCCTTCCCGCTACCTTAGTTCTACCCTAGGTCATACTTAGACACCTTAGTTCTACCCTAGGTCATACTTAGACACCTTAGTTCTACCCTAGGTCATACTTTAGACGCCTTAGTTCTAGCCTAGGTCATACTTAGACACCTTAGTTCTATCCTAGGTCATACTTTAGACACCTTAGTTCTACCCTAGGTCATACTTAGACACCTTAGTTCTAGCCTAGGTCATACTTTAGACACCTTAGTTCTAACCTAGGTCATACTTAGACACCTTAGTTCTACCCTAGGTCATACTTAGACACCTTAGTTCTACCCTAGGTCATACTTAGACACCTTAGTTCTACCCTAGGTCATACTTTAGACACCTTAGTTCTACCCTAGGTCATACTTAGTCACCTTAGTTCTACCCTAGGTCATACTTAGACACCTTAGTTCTACCCTAGGTCATTCTTTAGACACCTTAGTTGTAGCCTAGTGTCATACTTTAGACACCTTAGTTCTACCCTAGGTCATTCTTTAGACACCTTAGTTCTAGCCTAGGTCATTCTTTAGACACCTTAGTTCTACCCTAGGTCATACTTTAGACACCTTAGTTCTACCCTAGGTCAT